TGAGTTACTGATAGTGTGAGCTCTATCACTAATCTTGTACAGGTTACCCTCCTGCTTATAGGATGAAAGGTGAGTTCTCAAGTAACAGAAGAATCCACAACCATGAAGCCCTAGGCAACTACTCACCATCTCCCTTCTGTTGTAGTGTGCACAACCAAAATCAAGCCCAGGGTTGTTGGAGGGACTGCGTCTGTTCATGGTGAGTGGCCATGGCAAGTGAGCCTGCACATCACCTCTCCCACCCAGGGACACCTGTGTGGAGGCTCCATTATTGGAAACCAGTGGATATTGACAGCTGCCCATTGCTTCTCTGGGTTAGTACTATCGCTCTTCTCCCTGGGTCGCTATCATCACATGTAGGTGAAATCTGGGACTATCATAGTAGTAGATAAACACTTTGAAAATATAGATGATCCTGTTCATGAACTGAAGTCTCTCTCTCTGTGGAGACAGTCAACTACATGGAAGAGTCAGCCACTCATCATCAGACAGCGTTAGAGCAGGTGCTGGCACAGACCACTCTGTCTTTCCGTTCCATGCAAACAATTCCCAAAGGCTTTCCGTCCTTTCCTGGCCCTGGTGCAGACGGCCGATTGAAGCCCACAATTTCCTGCTCTTTGAGTCATGTTTTCCTCCTTCTCTCTTTCTCTGCCTCCAAACACAAAGAGTTCAGCACACCCAAAACTGGATCCCTTACCCTCATTACTTTCAGTATCAGCCAAATCTAGATGCTTCAACTGGGGAAGTGTTCATCCCAAGGAAATCTGGTTGAGCAAAATTCCTCTTTGCTACTTTCAGTCTCTTCTTCTAGTTGTTTTCAGACACAGGTTTGCAAGATTAGTTAGTTTTGTTCACTTTTTTGCATCATGCACACATGTACTCATAACCTAATGCTACACTTGAGGTTAGTGGTCCCCTTTAGATCTCATATGATGAAATTCAAAAAGTCCATGTGATTTTTTTTTCTGCCAATGACAAGGTTGAAACTAAAACCCAGCTCTTCCTGAGCTTGTGGATGTGCCAGAGAATGGAGAGACCATTTATTTAATGTGTTCAATATAAACACTATCCAGTGTTTTTTTTTGTAGGGGAATATATATATGCAACATCAGTCAATTACATGAAGAGTAATAAAAGACCAATATAATATATCTGATTAAAAATATTAAATATGATTAACCCTTTCCAAAAACTATTTTGACTCAAGACTTTTATATATATCAGAATAAAGTCACTTTTTATTTTCACTTAAAGGGGGTAATGATGGCAGAGTACAAATAATCACAAAACACAAATGTCTGGGAATTGCCTAGTGACAGATTTTTTTCACTCTGTTGTCTGTTCCTTAGGGTAGAGATGTCTAAAAATCTGCGTGTCTATGGTGACATTGTAAACCAATCAGAAATAAATGAAGATACTGCTTTCTTCAGGGTTCAAGAAATAATAATTCATGATCAATATAAGACGGCAGAAAGTGGGTATGATATTGCCCTGTTGAAACTGGAAACAACCATGAATTACACAGGTATATAGAATTTTAGGTGGAAAGTGATCTATAAAGGTGCCCTAGATAAAACCTTCAACCTTAGAGGGAACACAGTGCGATCTGTCAGCCCCATGCCACATCAAGACAAGGGAAGGTCTGGAAAGATGGCATCACCTTGTGGAGAGTGATGTTCTTACCTTAGAATACTAGATCATACTCTGAAAATGCAGGTGAAGATACTCATCTTTGGGCTTCTTTGGGCATACAGAATGACATCATTTTATAAAATATGGAAATAATAAGAATAACACAGATTGGCATTCTGCTTTAGGGACAAAAGTCTTGACAATGGGATTAAACAAATGCTACAGAATATTAAACCTCGTTAAAACAAAAGTTTGTGTAAAGAGGCATGTCTTACCCTCCCCTCTTGTCCTTTCAATTTGAGATGCTTTTATTATTTTTTCTTATATTTGTTTGTTTATTTTATGTGCATTGGTGTTTTGCCTGCATGTATGTCTAGGTGAGGGTGTCAGGTCCTCTGGAACTGGAGTTACAAACAGGTATGAGCCATCTTGTGGGTGCAGGGAACTGAACCCAGGACCTCTGGAACGGCAATCTGTGCTCTTAACTGCTCAGCCATGTCTACAGTCCCAACTTGGGATGTTTTATATATAACACTGAGCACAGGACATGAAAACATGTGAGAAAAAACATGAATATCATAAACAGAGAAAGCACAAATAATGTCAAGTAAAATAACAATTCTTTCTGGGGAAGCAATTGGTTTGGCTTCTGTGTTAGCCAGCTTTGTGTCAGTGACAAATTACCTAACGTAACTACCTTGTCAGGAAGAAAGGTAGTCTGGGCTCCCACCTGTGCTTGGAGGGCTCTGCTGGAGTGGCTGGTGAGGAATGTGCAGAGGAGCCAACTGTTTACTTCATGGATGGTGGAAAGCAGACAAGAGAGAAAGGAAGGTCTGGGGTCCTAATATGAGGGGCACGCCATCAGTGACCTAACGCCCTTCCAGAGGCCCCACCTTCCACCATCTCCAAGTAGCGTCGCAGACTGGGGTGAAGCCTGTGAACTATGGTCTTTTGGGGAGAAGCATAGCGTCTTCTGATGACTAAAGAGTGATCTCACAATTAGATTCTCAGCGGCCGATATGCCTTCCTTCTAAAGGAGATAGGAACGTACTGTACACAGAGTGCTGGGTGACTGGATGGGGGTACGCCGGGCCAAGAGGTAACACAGGAGTCGCCTATCTCTGCTCTATCCTGAAATCGAAAGGCAACTTAACCATAGCCCTTGTTTTCTCTGTAGTCACGTGGCCCAAATGTGATTAAAGCAACGTTAATCAATTACATGAAGAGTAATAAAAGACCAATATAATATATCTGATTAAAAATATTAAATATGATTAACCCTTTCCAAAAGCTATTTTGACTCAAGACTTTTAGTATGAGACCTAGTACTCTGTGTAAAAGTTCTAACTTGGTTTTTAATTATTTTGCCTGAAAAGAAATTCTATTTAGTGTCATAATTAATTTTAAACTTAATAACATTAATAAAGCTATTTACACAATAGCTTTATTAAATACTCTGTAATTATAAAAGTTAATTAAGCTTCGTAATTTTTCCTTCTATATTTTCATGTAAAATTTTGACTTTCAAGTATAATTGTACACACTAAAACACTAAAATGACCTTTTTCAGGCGAAATACAAAGTACTCTCCAGAAAGCCAAGATACCATTGGTGTCAAATAAAGAATGCCAGACAGGCTACAGAAATCATAAAATAACCAACAGGATGATCTGTGCGGGATATAAAGAAGGGGGGAAGGACGCGTGCAAGGTACGAGTGTTACAACCCGTCAGCTCCGTCAGACTGACGTGAGCGCTTCAAGCATATTTAAAAACAGTTCTACCATCGAGCACTGTCCTAGTTGGCTTCCTGTTGCTTGATAAAACACTGGCCAAGCACAGCCTAGGGAAGGAAAGGGTTTGTTTCGCTTACAGGCTACAGTCCGCCATAGAAGGAAGTCAAGGCAGGAATCTGAGGCAGGAACCTTGAGTTGGGAGCTATGGCAGAGGCTGTGGAGGAATGATGCTGACTGGTTTGCTTCTAGGCTCATGTTCAGCGACTTTTCTTGTGTAAAAATTTGTTTATCAATTAGCAATCAGGAAAATGCCCCCACAGACATGCCCACATGCCAATCCCATGGTGACAGTTCCTCAGCTGGTGTTCCTCTCTCCTCGGGTGTGTGAGCTTTATGACTCAGATTAGCCATCATCACAAGCAGGACGCATGGTGGGTTTTAGGTAAACTAGAACCTAAGATAGAAAAGCAGGAGGAAGGAAAGCAATCGGGTGTTTAGATGCTTGTGAAGGGGCCAGAATTTTATGAAAAGTAGCTGTGAACAATACTTACTTATTACAAGGATGTGTCTGAAGTGATTCATGCATGTTTCCTTTTTTCCCCCTTTTGCAGGGGGATTCTGGAGGACCACTGTCCTGTAAACACAATGGGGTGTGGTACTTGGTGGGCATTACAAGCTGGGGTGAAGGCTGTGGTCAAAAGGAAAGGCCAGGTGTCTATACCAACGTGGCCAAGTATGTGGACTGGATTTTGGAGAAAACTCAAACAGTATGAAAGAATTCAATCAGTATCATTTGGTGACCCTGGAAGATTAATTCATAAGAGGGCTTGATACCACTGACGAAGACACTGGGATGCTGGACTCTCCTCTAACAAGCTGAAGGGACTTGATGGATGTAAGAAAATACAGGAAGAGAATACAACTCCTGATCTGTGAGGATCATAGGTTGTTTTTGACATCCAGCTTCTACTCAATGAAACAAATGCAGCAGGAGAATTTTTTGAAAGATAAAAATATAGCAGATATACTAAGAAAGTATCAAGTAGTAGTGTCGCTTGCCTTTTAGTCTCTGTGACAAGTACCTGAAGTAGTTCATGGGAGGAAAGGCATCCCTTACCCACCTTTCCAGAGGTGTCAGCCTATGATCTAGCTGACTTGCACCACTGTTTTAGTTTGAGGTGAGGGAGAACAATATGGGAAGAAGAGCCTGTGGAGGAGGAGTTGCTTGCCTCATGGCTACCAGAAAGCAAACGCAAACAAGAAAGTATTGGGGACAAGACTGGTCCTTCAAGGACCTACTGCCAATCATCCACTTCTTCCAGCAACATCCCACTCCCCAAAGTTCCTGCTCCTTCCCAGATAGCGCAACCAACAGGAGACAGTTCACATTTGAACCTAACAGGCACCAACAGATCAGGTAGAAACTCCAAGGAAACCATATAAAAAGTTGTTCGATGCAACATCAAAACCAGAAGAAATGCAGACAAGAGTGCACAGTGTCCAATTATAGGAACCTATTTTTCTCTGCCTATATGAGTAAAAGAAGCCTGGCAGAGTCTAACGCTGGGTTTTGAGGGGGAAAACCCAGAATCCTTGTCTGCTAGAATTTTATGTGTGTGTATGTCTCTCTGTGTGTTCATGTATGTGCAGGTGTGTAAATACGGGCAGGGCAAAGACCAGATTTTGCACTGTTCTTCATGAGCCACTCACTCTGTTTGGCAAAGTATCTTACTAGAATTTGGAGCTTCCTAATTAGGCTAAGCTAGCTATCCAGCAAGTCCAGGGTCCTTTCTGTCTCCACCTCCCAAAGCTGGGATTGAGAACACATGCCATCATGCCCAGCTTAAATTTCTATTCCCCTCGTTCTGTGTGACAGGTGTGAGTGAACACACACGTCATAAAGTCTATGTGGAGATTAACTGACAATCTTCATTAGTCAATTATCTCCTTCCACCACATGTGATCCAGAGATGGGTGTTAGGTGTTCAGACTTGGTGGCAAATGTCTGTACCTATTAAGTCACGTGACAAGTCCACTGTACAGGTTTCCCATGGATGCTGGGCATCAAATTCCAATCCTCAAGTATACCCAACAAGTGTTTTTAATGGATGATCCCTTCAGTGGCTTTTTCAATTTTCTCTCTGTATTTTCTCAAATTGGTTCGGACAAGCACAATTTAGGGTATGAATGCAGACTCCATAATTTTTATGTGTTTAGGAGAGAGTGGTTTACCAGGAAGTGGCACTTGGAAGATGCATCTTGATGGATTTACCTGGGAAACTATCCCTGCCTAACCTATGCTCTCATTTGCAGTGTTTAGGTAAAAAACAGACTGATGGAGATGAGGTAGGCAAGCCTAGCATCCCTAAGATCTACCAATGAGTTTGCCTCTATAAAGAGCTAAGTAACGAATGTGCTCAACAGAAAAGAGTGTTGGAAACAGCCACAGCACAGGGAAAGGTAATTTAGGAGCAAACATGGTCTCGGTGGAAACTTCAGCATCCTCAAACAGCTCCCTGTACTCTAAACACCTGAGTTTTGTCCTGGCATGGACCTTATTCTAATGTAGTATTTCAACTGTGTCCACATCATTTTCAATCAGTGTGTTAATAACTATACAAATAACTATTCCAAAGTGAAAATCATTTACTGAGCATAATTATGTGATAGTGTCTTATTGAGCTTTGGGAATTTAGGCATCAGTCAATAAATTACCCTCATTTCATGAAGGTCATAGTCTATTTAGTATGAGCCAGTGAAAATAGTTGTGCAAAATCTATACTTCCAAACTGAAATAAGTAGGATTCAAAGGGTCCTAAGAGATGGTGGAGAGAGAAGAGTTAGTGTAAGCCAAGAGAGTAGGGTAAAAAGGGACACAGTTCTGAGCAGGACAAAGCAAAGACAACAAGCCCCAAAGATCAAAGTAACTGACCCAAAATGCTCATAGGATAAAACAGAGCTAGGAACTAACATTGTCCCAACTTCACAATCAACAGACAAATGCTAGTGTCCTTTATTACTTACTTATTACATTTCATATAGAAAAATGTTAGGATGCAATCACTAAAGAGAGGAGGTAGTTCAGTCTTCTCTGAGAAGTACCTAAGAAAAGTGTACTTTTTAAATTTTTAGTATTTAGCTATGTGCAATACCTTAATTCTGGATATTTGGTGCCTGCCCATAGTTCATACATAAAAATACTCTGGGCTACAAAACACCCAATGGGGAGATTCACTCCTCCACACCAAGGGAGCACATCTGTGCAGTACCCAGCACGTCCTCCTTTCGCCTTCTCTCCTGGAGCTAGCTGTCACTGACGAGCTTCTTCCGCCTGTTACAAAACGTGGGCTCAACTGCAGTGTTTTCATGCCTTGACCTGTAGGATGTTATTGTGTGAAACTATGCATTGCTTCTTTTCTGGTCCCCGAGACATAGCACTCAACGTTAGCAACCTCGGGAAGGTAAGATTTATTTTGGCTCATGGCTTGAGTCCAACCAATCTACTGTTACTTGGCCCCAACACTGAGCCCTTGTGGACCTGAACCAGACAGCAGGCCAGGAAGAAGTAACCTACTTCCTCCAGGTGGTTCCCACCTCCTCAAATTCGCAGATCCCACCATGAAGTCACCATCCGAGAACAGCCTTTCAATTACAGAGCCTTTTTGAAGGGTGAGGAAGAGGGGAAGGACGCTTCATCTTCAAGGTGACACTGACTGTTGAGTTGTAAATACTTTAAGTTTGTTATTTTTCCACTAGATGGCGCCTTTATACTTCTCTGTAGCGCTCAAAATCTGAGCAAGAAGACAGAAAGCAACCTGCAGGTTTAAACAAATTCTGTATTCCGAGTTGTTAAGTCAAACTGCAGGAATTCCGAGATATCTGACTTTTCAAATAGTAATTGTAAATATCTAGTCCCTAGCGAGCAGTTTCTCCTTCCCGTAGTACTTCCCCGAATCTCCAGCTCAGGCTTCCAATTCCCTTTACCAAGTGGCCAGGGCCAGTGCCCACATGGGTCAGTGTGCACCAGGCTACCCTCCATAGACACCCGTAGGACATCAGAGGGTGTTTCATCGCCCCATCTGTCCGTCCACGTTGTCATTTGTCACCTTGCTTCTGTCGAGGTCCTGTACCAGTTTTGTCCGCTGCCTTCTTAAATCTCTTCCATCTTCAGCATCTTCTATATCCGATCTGCAGAATCGACACCCCCTAATCACTTAAAGCACTGCTCAAATTATGCCCTGCTCATTGAAAACAGGCTGACTAAAGACTTCAGGAGAAGGAAGTACAGTTCAGTGTGGCTTTAGCTGAGTACCGTGCAAAGGGCGACCATTACAGGTTTGGCATCCAGTGTGACTGGATGATGTGACTCTGGGGTCTTTTGAGAATCCAGGTATAGTAGGAGGTCTAGAGAGACTTGCCCCTCACAACGATGGTGGAATCCCAGTCTCTAGCGTCCCTGTACCTCTTAGCTAGAGGGCTTGCTCTTAGTCCACACACTCCAACCATGACATGCCACCATCCATTATCCCCATCGAGCTAGCACACGCAGGCACTTACCCTTTGGCCATCTCAAACTGAGGGCTAAATAAAGCTCTCTTCTTATTAAGTGGTCTGTCTCTTACAATTTGCATAGTAGCCCAAATCTGACTAGCATACCCCCAAACACACATGTACAGAAACACACACACATACAAATGCGCACATGCGCACATACATCTACACACACTAATATACACATGCATGCATACACACACAGTACATGCACACATACATGCATATACACACACAGCATTACACACATGCATACATACACACACATGGAGAGCGCATGCACACAGCACATTCACATTCATAGGCAGTTTACAGATTAATTCAGCCACTCCAACATTCCATGGGTCAGATCTCTCTGTAGAGGTTTCCTACCAGCAATGTTTCCTTGGCTCCTACTTGCCCAGCCTGACTTAGTCACACACCAACCACGAAGCACACAGGAACCAGTTTCTGTGAGATTGGAGATTTGGGCATTTTGTGACAATGGCACCAAAAGCCACCTAGAGCTGCTGACCTGCAATCAAGATGAACTTGTTCATCTCCCGTGTAAGAGAGAGTGCCTGTGTGGTAACATTTTGTTTGTGATCTAACAAATAAGGCTTGCCTGAAGATCAGAGCGTGGAGATAGCCACACTAGTCAGCCACAGACGCCAAGCAGAGGCAGTGCACACCTTTAATCCCAGCGCTTGGGAGGCGGAGGTAGACGGATCTCTGTGAGTTCAAGGCCACCCTGGGCTACACGAGATTGATTCGGTGTAAAAGAGGAACAGAGCCAGGCAGTGGTTGATCACACTTTTCTTCCCAGTACTTGGGAGTCACACACCTTTAATCCCAGCACTAGAGAGCTGGAGCCAGGAGTGATATGGCTGGGCAGAGAAAGGAGAATAAGACAGGAGCAGACAGGAGCTCATTGCATTGAGTCTGAAGATTCACAGGGACAGAGTTGCCCCTTTGGTCTGGGGATTCCCTAGAGATAAGAGGTCTCTTTTGTGGCTGGCTCCTTGACTTCTCTGACCTTTCAGCAGTCACCCTCAAACATCTGACTCCAGGTTTTTATTATTAAGACCTTTAGAACCCGTGCTATGTGCCGAGGTAGTAAAAGCTCTGACGCGTGGGCAGTGTTTCTAAATGAATCATCTGGTTCAGGAGCTGTAAACAGACAACTGGGAAACAGGTAACAAGAGTGTTTGGGAACAGGGATTCCCAAGAAAGAACAGAATGCACTCCCGAGAGTGTATGCCCACCAGAGGGCGCAGTGGCTCTGTGAACAGAAAAGCTCTCAGCCCAGGCTCCATCTGGTTGAAAGTTGAAAAACAGTTGGAGACTCACTCCCTGCTCAGCCTCATTTGCGCTTCTTCTGCAGGGAGTCCTTACTCAGGTCGCCAGCCCCGGTTGGAGCACCCCTTAACAAAGCTATAACTCAGTGTTTTCTTCAGATCCTGTTCTGAGTGTGGGAGATCAAGCTGTGTGGAGTCCCGTGACATGATACAGAGAACATCTGTGCCTGGCTCCCAGGCCAGTTTAGAAAAGGATGTCATCGTGCCCTGTCTGCATGGGGCAAGCAGGCTCCGAAGGGCCTGTCAAGCAAGCAGAGAGCAAAGTGGTGATCCCCACAGACAGAGGTCTTTCTAGCCCACCCCTTCAGAGAGATATGCAGAGCAAGCTTCCCTTGCTGGAGACAGCTTCTCATCTGTCCAGATGTGAGCCCAGGAGTTGTCAGTGGGACCCGGATGGCTTTACTCTATAGTCTGAAACCCCTTACTCCTGGGACTCACTGTTTGTTGTGGTTAAACTACCTTAAATGTCATCCTAGAGCCTTCATCCAGTAGCTGATGGAAGCAGAAGCAGAGACCCACAGCTAAAAACTTAGTTGAACTACTGGAATCCAGTTGTAGAGAGGGAAGAGTGATGAGCAAAGGGGTCAAGACCAGGCTTGGGGAAACCCAGAGAAATATCTGACCTGAACATGAGGGAGCTCACGGACCCCAGTCTGACGGCTGGGGAACCAGTATAGGACCGAACCAGGCCCCCTGAAAGTAGGTATCAGTTAGGAGGCCTGGGCAGTCTATGGAGCCTCTGACAGTGGAGCCAGTGTTTATCCCTAGTGCACGAACAGGCTTTGGGAGCCCATTCCCTATGGAGGGATACTCTCTCAGCCTGGATACACAGGAGAGGGTCTAGGTCCTGTCCCAAATGATGTGACAGACTTTGATGATCCCCCATGGGAGGTCTCATCTTCTTTGTGGAGTGGGTAGAGGAAGGATGGGGGGGTAAGTGGGGGGAATGGGAGGACATGAGGGAGATGGAACTGGGATTGGCATGTCAAATAAGATTGTTTTTAATTTAAATAAAAAAGAAAGGAAGGAAGGAAGGAAGGAAGGAAGGAAGGAAGGAAGGAAGGAAGGAAGGAAAAATTTCCGTGACAATCCTAAGGCCCTGAGTGAGGGGAGAGAGCTTTCCTAAGGTAGCGACTTTTCAGTGGTGTGACATGTGCTACAGGTGAACCAGACTTGCTTTCTTTTTCTCTTGTTAACCTGTGCATTGTTAGCAGAACTCTGCCCTGGCAAAGAATGCCGATCCCTGAAAGACAGCCACCTTTTCCCCTGCTTGCTGTCCAGCCCTTGATTCTCCAGTGTTCTGCTGCATGCCTGGAACAAGAGGTGTGCTGACAGAAAGACCTGTGGACACAGTGGGAGCCTGGGGACTTAGCCATGGATCTTACACAGCCCTCTACAGATAGCTTATGTTCTCGTATAGGTGTCCCCATCTCCAGTGGTCCCCCGCCATTTTAGCGCCCCACTTTGGCTGCTTGTTAATTCCGCTAACTGATCCCAAACACAGTTTCATTTATTTGTTATGTTTTACATATTAGTTCATTATTTTGTTGTTGGGAAAGAACACTTTACTAAAAGCAACTTACGGAAGGGTTTATCTGGGCTTATGGTTCCAGAGGGATAAAAAAAAAAAGCCCAGTTACCTGTAGTATCACACAAAAGTCCTCTCAGCTTGAAGCTAACCCCTGCCTAACACACCCGCTTTCCCTTCCACACAGCAGCTCCCTTACATGTTGGTGAGCACAGGTCAATGGACAGGTGATGTCATTTGTGGGAAAATGAGAGTAGGAATATTATATAATGGTGCATATATTTGGCTTTGACATTTCTAACTTACCACATTGGTAGATGTATACTTTGGGGGACATAGTCTCCTTTTTTTTTTTTTTTTTTTTTTTTTTTTGGTTTTTCGAGACAGGGTTTCTCTGTGGCTTTGGAGGCTGTCCTGGAACTAGCTCTTGTAGACCAGGCTGGCCTCGAACTCACAGAGATCCGCCTGCCTCTGCCTCCCGAGTGCTGGGATTAAAGGCGTGCACCACCAATGCCCGGCCCATAGTCTCCTTTCAAATAAAGCATCATGTCCCCCAGTGAGAGCAACATGCTGAATATGCAGCAAAACAAACCCTCGTCCAGAGATGTATCTCTCAGAGGTCGAGAAAAGCCAGGTAGCGATAGACATGCTAGGCCAACTACACATTTGAGTGACCTGTCCCTTCTGACATTTTCTTCATTCTTAGTAATAAAGTAATAAAGGCTCATGAGAGTGGGGAATCCTAAACCTCTTCCCATCAGATTGTCACCAAGGCCTTTGCTTCCAACTATGATGTGTCTGCATATGTCCACATGTGGCATTGACTTCCAACTGTGATGTGTCTGCATGTGTCCACATGTGGCATTGACTTCCAACTGTGATGTGTCTGCATGTGTCCACATGTGGCATTGACTTCCAACTGTGATGTGTCTGCATGTGTCCACATGTGGCATTGACTTCCAACTGTGATGTGTCTGCATGTGTCCACATGTGGCGTTGACTTTTACTATGCAAAGGCAGCATACAGGGTAAGAACTTCACCAAAATCCCAACTAGGCAAATATGAATTGATTTTGGCTTACCCACAGAAAGTAGGTGAGGGGCTGTTCCCAGGGGTGTGAGTGACTCCAACACCACGACATCATCAAGTTTCAGTCCATCGTGGATAATGACCTCATGGAAGCTACATCTTAGAATCTCATCCTCAGTTAACCTTCCACTTAATGTAAACGCCACTATTCCAAAGTCATTTTGCAGCTGTGGAGGGAGACAAAGGAAGTAAGGCCTAGAATTCCAGATAAGGGCCCTGTGAATACACTCTGTTCATAGTATTAACAATTCTATTGCCACGACCATAGATGTACCGACCACTGTGTTGCTCTGTTCACTTGGTTGCCATGGCTACTGGGCTAAAGTTATGTCTACTTCAAGATGCCGATGGGATGATCATGCTATGCCTTAAGGAAAAGCCATACTAGATAGCATGTATTCATCTTCAAAGGTATAGATTAACATCGTATCAACATCACCTCTTTTCTGGTGCAAATTACCACCAAGCCACCATCATTTCTTTCTTGCTAAACCAAAGAGTCTCCTAACATGCGCCACTACCATCACTCTTTTCTTCTTTATAATACAAAACTTTAAAAAGTAATCCAAGGCTTCAACACAAAGTCAGAAATGCACATCAGGACAAAAGTCCTCCTAGGTCTTTGGATTTTATTTCAATTCATACTCAATATCCCCAGGGGCTTAAGGTCCCGAGTTAGCTGCCTCCCAGGCCCCGCTCATCACTAACCACAGTGCTACTTAAAACTCACTAGTCCTCCCACCCCAATTTTTGAGTTGCCTACTGTCTCTCAAGATGACAGTGACAGGAAATAGAGATTTTTAATGATGACGGCAAAATATAACTCAGAGCTAGATATTTCATCCTCAATGAGTCCTTCCTGGAAGTCAGTCTAATCTAGAATCTTCTAGAATATCAACCTTGGAATCATCAGCCACCACAACTGTCTTAATTTTGTTTATGAACTTACAGGTGTAATAGGCTTTCTCTTTTGGTCCACCAAACAGCTCCCAAATCATGACATGGAGACATTATTAGTTATGAATGGTTGGTCTTGTCTTATGCTTGTCCCCAGCTCTTACAACTTAAATTATCTTGTATCTTCTCATCGACATTTTGCCTGAGGGCTTTTTACCTTTCTTTTTCTGTATATCTTACTTTCCTGCTTCCTCCAGTCTCTGGCTGGCTGGTGGCTGCTTGGTTTCTGACCTCGGGCGTGTGTGTCCTCTCTTTCTCCCTCATCCTTTCCTCTTTCTTGAGTCTAGATTTCTTCTCCTAGTTACTCTCTCTGCCTGCCAGCCCTTCCTATCCTTGACTGCCTAGCTATTGGCTATTCAGATTCAGGTTTTTTTACTAGACCTATCAGGTGCCTTAGGCAGGCAAGGTGAAACAAATGCAACTCATCTTTATATAATTAAACAAATGCAGCACAGCCAAATGTAACACACCCTCATATAGTTGAAGTAATATTTTCTGCAGCACAAACAAATGTAACACATCTTTGAATCATGAACAAAGGCAGCAGAAACAAATGTAACATACCCTCACATGGTTAAAGTAATAGTTTCTGCAGCACAAACAAATGTAACACATGTTTATGTACTTAAAATAATATTCCACAGCACACAGGTTTTTGACATTTTGTGATAGTGGCTTGAACAGACTCAACTGTTTACTTTTCTCAGTTACTGTTGACATTTTCTTCCCTGGGCACTGCTCTCCTAGCATCAGATGTCCCACATTGCAGGGGTCTCCGTTCAAAGGCCACATCTGTGAGGAAGTTTCTCCTACCCACAATAATTAGCACAGTACTCTCTTTTAATGTCCTTATCGTGATATAAAATACTTATCATTGTTCATTCTTCTGTCAACCTATCTGAATGCTCTCCTACCTTCTAAAACACAGTTGATTTTCTTTAACTTTCTGGTGAATGAATGAAAGCATGAGTGAGGAAATGAGTCAGCCTGGAGAAAGACCATTGCAGCATACTGGTAATCACAAACATTTCGTTATAAAGCCAGAGAAACATAGTCTAATTTACAATGATTTTCTATCTCCCACACTTGTTAATAAAAATGCAGGTTTATGTATAATTTGTTCCCTGGAAGACATGTCCACAGGAGACAGACATCAGTCATAAATGAAAGTGTTAATGTAACAAATTGGTAGCTTCATGAATTCATCTAGTCTCTAGGGAGATGCTATGGAACATTAATCAAATGTTGAGATTTTAAAACATGCTGAGTAAAGGTTGAGATGAATAAAAATTTGAAAAATATTGGGAAATAAAGCAGAACAAAATGATGCTGTTTCTACAGCCCAACTGTAGCCGACACCGCAGCCATGGAGCTACATAAAATATTCCGCATGGTTTTGGTCCTGAGTCGCCTGCTGCAGGAGGAGGGTGAGGAAGATGGCTTATGGATTATCTGAAAGCATGAGGCTCTCTACCTGAATATTAATAAAATTACTCTGGCAAAAACAGATCATTGTATTTAGGGGCATTAGTGATGGTAGCAGAGTTATGGGGGTGAAAGCTTGTGCCCTGTCAGCCATAACATGCATCATCCATCCCCAACAAGCCAGTTAAAGACATAAATTGATAAAAAAAATGAAAAGATCTCTCATTCAAGAAGCCACATAGAGAACAAAGAAGTCCAGTGTGCTACATCCAGTCTTTCCACAGGGTGTTGACATGAGGGTAAGGTTTAAATACAGAGTCAGGGATATGCATAACTAAGCTACCTTAGTGAAGATAACCCATCACCATGGTTACAATACTAGTGTTCTGCAAAGTCTACTGCAAGTTGTGATCCTTACCTGGATATAAGTTCCTGCTCTGACTAGCCCCAGGACCTCAGACTTCCCTTTCTTTCAGCGTCAGATTCTAAGGAAATAACAATTTCTTGGAGTCCTCTGATCACCAAAGGAGACCCACAAGTGTCTCTTTAGGTCATCTTCATTCTTGCCGGGATAATTACAGTGCCTTAAATCTGGATCATAGTCTTGGTATTGAAGTACAAAGTTGAGCTGAGGCTCTTAAATAGATTTCACACTCACTGGCAGCTGTCCCCAGACATGCTGTAAAACAAGACTACCAATCTTTGTGACTCAATAACTCTTGCACCATGTGTGCTTGTAAAACTAGTACCACAAAGATGAAATCAAGTTTTCCTGTTAGTCTGAGAATTTCTGCCTCCTCTCCTTGGTTCATGGCTGCTGTGGCTTCTGAGTCTTTGGACAACTGAAATTGGGAAGGAATGCCCTTTGTTCAGTCAGTCACTTCTGTTTTCCCCATCAGGGCGATCTGGGGGTTCTTTTTTTCTAAGAAAAGTCTTTAAAGATTATTTTTACTTAATGTACCAACACCTATGATGGACAGAGTGTCACCAACAAAAATGCCCCAAGACACCTTTCCTACTGCATCAGTGGAGAGCACAGAGCCTTTTTTAATGATAATAATCTCTTATCCAGTTTTGACTTATTTGCCCAGTTTCAAATGCACACAACTCTCCTTTTTTTGAGAATTGCTTGCTTTTCATGCATTTCTTTCTGCTCTGCTGTTTGCCCTCATCTCCACTATCACCTGACAGAAGCAGACAGCAGTAATCATGTCTCCGTATGGATGCTTAGCTGCTTTGAAGTCTCCTCCAGCAAGCTGACTAATCCACCTGTGAATTCACCCCCACTGAGAATCCCAGGACCTGTACAAAACATACACAAATTCTCCCTAGAATTAACATCAAAGTCTTCCAGTCCAATGCCCAATAAAATCTTTATTTCCATCTGATGTCTACACTTCTATTATTACTCTTATCTTTACTCCACCCTCCCCACCCCCCCCACTCTCCCACCCCTCCACCCACCCCCACCGGCACCACACACATACACAGCAGAATCAACCATTAAGTTCTGCTCATAAATTCTAGGATAACTGGTTTTTCTTTTCTTCCCTTCTTTTCTTCCCCCAATCCCCACCCTCCTCCTCTTTCTTTGGGACAAAAATCTCACTTAGTCCAGCCTGGCTGGCTTCAAACTTGCTGTGTAGCTGCAGAGGACTCTGAACTTCTGGTCCTTCTGGCCTTCACTGTGAGGAGCTGCCCTCACTATCGCTATCGCCATTAGAAGATGGCGCTGACATCTGCTGTCAGTTGGAGTTTACCGTTTAAGCTGTGCCTCACCCGTCATCTGGGGTGATGAGCAAACCACCAATCCCGGCTCTACACGTCTCACTCGGAGCTCCTAGGCTTATATAAGGGGCTGGGTTTCTTAGCTTGGGGTCTCCCTCTCAGAAGCTGATCATCTATCTCTCAAGATGTATTAAAGCTTTACTGCAGAAGGATCCGAGTGTCCTGCGTCGTTCTTGCTGGCGAGACGGTAGCGCGGGACACTTCACCTCTTGAGTGTTGGATGCTCTAGGTCTCCTGGGGACCACAGACTCAAAAATCTTCCATGTATCCTGAAAATCAGCTTCAAAGACTTGAGAACCATGCAGTCATAGTTAATCACAGGAACAAAGTTACTTTTATGGTACCCATTTCTGTTACTTTTGTGCTTCTGGGACCATAATATTTGGAAGAAACTACTTACGGGAGTAAAGGTTTATTTGACTCACAGTTTCAGAGAGGTTCACTCTATCATGGCAGTCCTTCACGGCAAGGAAAGCAGACTAGTTCTTGCTAGCAGAGGCATATGGGAAATTCTGTTCACATTATGGCAGACCAAGAAACAAAATGTATCAGGAAGGGGGGGGGGGAAGAGGGGGACAGATACAACACTCAAAAGCCTGCTCCTGGTAACCTGCTTTTCTTGAGTTTTCCGCAAGCCTCACCACTCATGGAAGAAGTACTCAAAATGTACACAAACCTGTTAGGAACATTTCATATTTAAAGTGTAGTACCTGTGCCACAAGCAAGTCTAATGTATCGGGTAAAAACCTGGAGATTTAAATGAAAGACAAGACGTCCAGCAGTTTGTGCTAAGAGAATGTGTATGTGTGTCTTTATTGCAAGGAGAGAACAGTCTTATATACAGACTTATAGCACACTGGAGAAACCCCGGGTGTAAGAGTTCATGTTTTCATAATTAGAATTTGATGCCAGTGGGGCAAAGCTGGGGCTGTAAAGCCAGGACTAGAAAACAGGATGCACCTGTGGTTATTGTCCGACAAGCAACTCACAGAGACCCCATGGGGGCTGGAGCCCAACATTAAAGTACAGCATATATTCCTGTTATCTGTATCTAGAGATGGTTTGAAATCTTCCTGTACACCCTGGATGCTTTGTAAAAATCCTTTTAGAATTGCCCTGGCAGTAACATCCAATGTAAACCGAGTAAAGCGGCTACAGTTAGCATCTTTTGTTTACTTTTGATCTTAAGAGGAGAACATGTAGACCTGCTCCATTGAGAGTGACGTTAGCCATGTCTTTCATAGATGCTTTTTATAAAGTGAAGAAAGTTTCAGCTTTTTTATAGGTCGCAAGCATTTTTATTATGAAAAGGTGTTGGATTTGTTTTGCAATTATTAAGACAATCATGATGTTTATCCTTTATTATATTGCCATATGTTACATTGATTGATTTGGGGATATTGAACAAACTCAGCATTATTTCAACAAAACCCATTTGGCCATGGCATCTAACCTTCTTATATATCATTGGATTCATTTCACCAATATTTTTGTTGAAGATACTTTAGCCTATAAAGGGCATCAGTGAGTGGTTTTTTTAATGGGGATGTGTCACGACCACCTCGACCAGCAAGGAAGACGCGACTCAGGAATCCTTCTCACAAGCGGTTTATTCAGGACCTTGAACAAATCTTCTGACCCCAGGGAGTGCCCGCCCACAGCTTAAAAAGGCCCTTGGGCAGCCAACCCCAGTAAGCCATGTGGCGACAGCAGATAGGTCCACATACGAGGAAGCAAGCCTGATATCCAGCCTTGACCAAATAAGGAGTTGTTTATCACAGAGAGCACTTGCTGTCAGGCTAGCAAAAGGCAGAAGCCAGCACCATCTTAAGGGTGCGGCACTTCGCAGCTCTCTACAGGGATGACTCAGGTAGAACTGTCAGAATGATAGTAGTTGTATAGTCAGGGGTAGGAAGAAGTGGTATAAAGAATTGGTATGGGTTTTAATTTTTAAATGTATAACTGAAGCCCTTTGACTGTGGGAATGTTTCGTGAAACTTTTTAACTTAACAGCGTAATTTCTTAGTGAAGTGTTATGTCTATTTAGCCTATAATATCTTTTGTTGAGTAA